TGGCAACATTTAAAAAGGGGGTGGGGGGCGGGGGGTCACCTAGACCTAAAACTTCATCTTTGGGTGGAAATGAGAAAGTTAAAGCGCCCTGGGGCATCATGGAGGTGAGATTTCTGCACCCGAACCTAAAGCTCCTCCTGCCCACCCCGGGCATAAAGAGGAGCAAAGCCAATACTTCCAGCACAGTCTGACCGCTAGAATCCCGATCAGTTCACAAGTATCCACTTCAGTCATCCAAAGTATTACTACCCAATACAGTCATCACCGAATGTATCATTTTATACAGCTAATATAAGCACCTGAATCTGCCTTTATATTAGCTGCCTGTCATCCCTCTCGTCTCCCAAGCAGGACAGAGACAGAGAGAGAGAGAGAGAGAGAGAGAGAGAGAGCCGATCCCGCTATCATTGCACAGTGCTATACGATATATCAATCAGGTGGACAGAGGAGGGGGATGACCTCATCAGGCAGGGGACATTATGTAACCTTATGGGAGAAAAGTGAGGTCACCCGATGACAAGCCAGACGAACATAAATATTTTGTCCGGGTAACACATTTTAGGTATAGGTATTCCTCCCGTGCATTTAGCTTTTTGCCTGGACCTCAGCTTTACCTGATGTATCAGTTTTCAATCGGTGGCTTTAAATACTTTCGCTGCAACTAATCAGCAGTCACAGTTCCTGAAATCTTCCGCTGAATAACACTATCCTTAAACACGAGTTCCTCCACACCAAGCTGGTCACACCATGTCTGTATGGAGCTGGCTTTGTACACAGGGGACAGTCATGGTGGGACAGAAAAGGGTCTTCACCAAACTGTGACCACAAGGCTGGAAGATCACTATTGTCTACAATGTCTTTGTATGATGGAGGATTACCAGATTACCTGACCTCAACCTACTGAACACCTTTGGGATGAATTGGAACACTGACTATGTCTTCTCCCGCCCGACCTACGTCTAGTACAAATGGGCTCCCACCCGACCTACGTCTTGTACAAATGGGCTCCCACCCGACCTGCATCTTGTATAAATGGGCTCCCACCCAACCTACGTCTACTATAAATGGGCTCCCACCCAACCTACGTCTACTATAAATGGGCTCCCACCCAACCTACGTCTACTATAAATGGGCTCCCACCCGACCTGCATCTTGTATAAATGGAATCCTAGGTTCCAGAGTACAGTGTGCTCAAAAGGTATGACCGCCTCAGAGTATAATCTACTAATTCCACAGACAATTCTAACGTCACAGTGTCCTGCTAGAATGATACACAATGACTCAGATAGGAGGAGTTAGCTTTCCTTACAAAAGCTGCTGGATCCTCTATCATTCAAGCAACTCATGGAGGGTCCAACCAAGATCATTTGAGGGTCGGTTCTGTCTGCCCAACATTCAGTCTTAGTACAATAGGTGTTCACAATCCCCTAAAAAGAACTGCCAGAAGATCTAAACTTGGCTCTCACCTTCCAGTGGCCCCGCGGCATTATCCGCCACCTGCGTTATAGAGAACCGGGACACGGAGGTTGGAGACACGCTGAACCTGGAGAGCTGAACGGGCAGCACTGGCTTCTGGACGGCCAGCGGTAAGGGCTCGGGGGTACTGTTCACTTCCGCGTTCAGCATCGCTGGTGAGAGTGAGGTGATAAAGGAGCTCTTCGCAGGTTTAACAGGCAACTCGCCATCCCATTCAAAGCTGCCATCTGTCAAGCAAAAATATAGTGAGGTGATCAGTCACACAACAGGTAAAGATATGTCAAGTATAACATGAGAACGAATGATGGTCTATAACCCCTCGCCTAGTACAGGGGGAGCCAAACAATGGTCCTCAAGCTGTGGGGGAAACTACAAATCCCATGATGCCTCTCTCTCTCCGGGAGTCATGTCTGTGGCTGTGAGAATGTTGCAATGCCTCATGGGATGTGTAGTTCCACCACAGCTGGAGGACCAGTGTTTGGCTACCCCTGGCCTAGTACATCCAATCATGGTCCAATTAGGCAAGGATAGGGCGACAGGCACCTTCAAAAAAAGTTATTTGCAGCTCTGTGATTTCCATCCTAACCTGTGTATTATGTAAATATGAATATTGCACATAAAGATCTCCTATCTACCCATTCTGCAGCCATGCTCCAAGTGTTAGCCTTAGAAAGTTATTCTACTGATGTAAAAAATCTAATTATGAGGATCTCACATTATACACACAGCTGAATGGCTTGGAGGATGGGCACACCACCCCTCCTCCTTACCAGGCAGAGACTGTGCTGTGCAGAGCTTCACTATGCAGGATCCACAAAGAAGTTCAGAGCTAGTGCTGGGCTTTCTAGCTGAGCACGCACTCTATACACTGAAACACGGAAGAACACGGCATTCATTATTTATAAAATAAAACACTTTCATACAAACAAAATTATAAGTATGAAGGCTGGCCATTGGCTGGCCTGGATCTGTGGGAGGAGGCTGGCCTTTAAGACGGCACGGCTTACTGTGCACTCACTCCGGTGGGTTCCGGGCGTCCCCACCCACCAATACCCTCTTTTTCCATATCGGATCACTGGGTATGCCCACTTTTGGGCATACTGTCCTAAGACAGCCAAGGCACACTTCAGGCCATGGGGTTTTTTTTTGTTTTAAGCCCGTGGACGTGCGTCTAAACAAACTTCCCGCTGTGAACAAAAAAAAGTGAACCGTGAAATCACAGCACACACAAACGTGCACCAGGGTGCAAGGTCCTTCCAAAGAAGGGACCCATTTCCCGACCCCCCGGGGCGCAAGGCTCCTGACAGGGGTTGAGAATGTTAGTCCACCGACCTGCAGGCCGGTGGACCACCGTTCCTTTGGTGACCTGCCGAAACAGGTCTCTCACAGTACTAGGCAGGGGGGATCTCCCGAAGAGAGACCCCCTCCTGGGTGGGAGGAGACAGAGAACCCCATAGGAGGCAAAGAATCTCCTCCCAGCGTCAGGAATAGGCCCCGAAGAAACCTGCACCATCAGCATCTGTGGGTCAATGCCAAAAACAGGCCAATCGTGTATCATGCATAAGGTTCAATAAATAATAAGTGCCAGTGCACCACGCTGACATGCCGTAGGGGTTCAGGCCATGGGGTTTAGGGAGTCACTCATATCATGGTCAGCCTCAGACCACAAATAACATTATCCAAAAACCGCATAATGAGACATCCCACCTTCCATAAGGAGATCAACGCTTTCCATGAAAAAATATTCACACCCTGTAATCATCAATACATCAATAGTTGTAGAGAAGAAGCAGCATGGTGCCAGACAGTTGTGCTGCATTGCTCATCCAGTAACGTGTAAAATGCTGATAGGAGGAGAGAGATGGAGTAACAGAGAGATGCACTCATCAGCCTGCTGCATCTCCTTTCACGGTCCAATCACAGGCTGGGGGAGGGACAAGACCTGTAAATGTTAATGAATTGCAGCAGAAAAAAAAAATCAGTTCCGCTTCACTGCTAGACCGGACTGTGCTGTGTGGCAGGACTGTTTAAATCTCAGGAATGGATGGATAGAAACACGAATCACTTGGCAGGTTAAACATCTCCCTTATCTGTGTATTTATCTGTTTCCCTGGGTTCAGGTTTATTGGTTAGCATTGTCCATTCTTTACCTAAGAGGTGGTTGGAGGGCTCTTTATAGGTTATCTGCTGAACCTCCTGCAGCACGGTCGGCAGTTCTGGCAACTCCTGATCTGCACCATCCAGTGTTGGACTTTCCTAAAACCATCAAGAAGAAAAGTCTGAAAAGGTTTCTGTTGCAATTAAACAATTAAATATCAACAGTTAAAAGGGACCTTCCAATTTCAGAAAGAAAGCGCCCCCCCCCCCCCATTGCGATGACCAACCTCTGCCACAGTGACCCCAGTTCCTGCACCAGCCACCCAACTATTAGCTGCGATGGAGGCCGAGCAACATGCGCTGTAGGTTCAGAGGTTGCTGTAACAGAGGATCCAGAACAGACACGGACCAGCAGAGGTAAACAATAAAAATATCATAGCCCACTTGCCATGATATCCAGTTGATTGGCAGGCTCCTTCGCTATAGTGACCTGGGCTCCACTACATAGAAGGAGGACAGGAGCCTGCCAATCAGCTTGTTACTATTCCCTGGGTGATATTTGGGGGGCGTACAGGGGCCATGAGGGCATGCTGGAACTTGTAGTTCAATTACAACATGTCCCAGCATGCTTTCATTGTACCTGTACACCTCCACATATCACCGGGGAGGGCGCAAAATGCTGTTCTGCCCCGGGCGCCCGTTACTCTGGTTACGCCACTGCTTGGCAGATGGCACACTGACCAAGGAGCCGGGATTTCCTATCTTTTTGTTCACGACTCCCCAATTGCACAGAGGTGAACATGCAGCTCTGCGGGTAATGAAAGCACAAAGGCTTCCTTAGCAGCCAGTCCATAGCTGACCACCTCCAGCTATGACTTGCTATGTAGCATGGTAACGGGGACACAAACTGGGCCAGTCTGGACCTTATAATGTTTTAAATGATACCCTGCACAAGGTAGGTGGCACTTCCACGCTCACATACCTGATCAAATAAATAGACAGTAACATCATCATAGAAAGATACAGCCTTCTTCTTCCTATCGGACTCCTCTGGAGCAGCCTGGGGCACGAAGTTGGGCGCCTTTAGAAGACTTCGCAGGTGACTAGCACTGGCATGATCAATGATAACAACGGGGACAGTGGAATGTTCCTCTTCGCTCTCCTCGCTGTGCTCCTGGATGTTGTAGCATCGGAGTTCCTCGTCGGACTCATCGCTGTCCTCACTTTCTTCATCCTCTTCATCATCGTCGGTGGAATCGCCTACTCTGCCCTCCTTTCGGATAAGAGGAGGCGAGACGCATTTGGGCAAGTGGCATGCTCCTAATGATTCCCTGTTGGAGGGTGCTTTCTCTGCTGGCTGAAGTCCAGTGGTCAAAGTGATGCTTCCCGCTGAGCCCTGCTTTACAGTGCATGCTTTGGTGAGGCAAAGCTGGACAGGGGACAGGGTGAAGGTTCTGTGCGAGGCCGACTTTATGGTGGAACTTGCGTTGGGTTGCTTATTAAGAGAGCAGTCTTTAGGACATTCTAAGCCCAGGCCTTCATCTACTGATTCTTCCCTGATGATGGGAGGGAGCCAAAGTAGTGAGTCTTCCGATAAAAGCAGGGAAGGCAGGGGTGAAGGAGATTTAGGAGCATCAGTTTCTGCAGCTGCTGCGCAATGACCTTGGCCATCATTTAAGTTCTCAGTGCTTTCTATTAAGTTAGGTGCCGTGGGGTCTACGTTTATATCTATAGAGTCAGAAGTCTTGGTGGCTCCTTCCTTCTCCTTCCCTTCACCTCGGTCTCCTTCCTCCTCTTCTTCCCGATTGAAAGAATCATAGTCTGAGAAATATGCAGAGTCTCGGTAGGGATTCTTGGCATCTAGACCTTGCAAGTCACTGCTAATTGAGCGGGACATTGGCATATCTCCAGGTTCCAGGCTCTGTTCTTGGGATGGACTCAGCTGGTAATAAACCTCGGCCTCTCTGCTCTCTTGTGGTTCTTTTAACACAAACTCTGGAGACTCGTAGTTTTCTGTGTCATAGCCGCTGTCCAGCGCTTTGTGCTGTGCAGAAGGTGCATAAGTTCCAAGGCTGAAGGCATCGCAAGAGCTAGCAGTCGATGGCATGTCTAGGGAGTCCAGTGAATCTGGGGTCCCTACTTGTTTCTGTAGGGATCTGAACGATGGGGCTGTGTCTCCTTTCTCACTAGACAGGTCTGTGAAGACCCCTGAAGTCAGCTCCATGGTGTCTTCATCGTCACTGTCACTGTGAGTTTGGTAAAAGTCTTTGCAAAACAGTTTCTCAGGGCTTTCTTTATCCTTGTCAAGGGAGAGATTACAGTGTTCCTCAGATAAGCTTTGTAGGGAAGCCCCTTGGGATCCAGCTACAGATATGTCTTCCTCTGTTATGTGAAGGTCATGCGTGGGTTCTGAATGTGTAGGAAGTTCAGAATGTACTATAACACAAACACCGAGAGGATCCATTTCTGGTTCAGGGGTTACTTCTTCGCTGTCTGGGGATGCTAGAGGATGGCGGATTTCAGTTGAGGGTAACGTTGAGGATTTAATATCAGTTGCTTCTGACACAGGAGAAGAGAACAGAAGGTCTGAGTTACCAGAGTCTGTTTCCACCGTGATCGAACACTCAAGTGCTGCAAACTCCTCAGCATCGAAAAACTGATCTTCCACCGCTGTTGAACAGGTGACGATATCCCCGTCCCCAGACTCTGCAATCTGCCATGATTCGGGACCGTACGGTTCGGTCTCAACATCCTGTGAATACTCCGAGCGAGAATTTAACCAAATGCCAGGCTGCTGCGGTTCACTGCAGATGTTATTATTTGAGGAGATGTTGGATGCCCAGTGAGGTGAGAAAGCAACAGGACAAGAGGCCTTTGATGATAGATCTTCCTGAAGGTTACCCTGCTCTACATCCTCACCTTCACATTTCACTGCAGCGAGCTCTATAGGGTCTCTAGAGGTGTTACTACAGTCCTCATTTTCTGATGTAGTGATCTTTTCTGCCTCATCTGGGCCAAGAAGGTTGTGGCCGAGCTGATTAAACGTCAGAGAGGCTCCAAGGGGATCATCCTCTGTTGAACAGTTAATTACGTTCTTCTCCCTTGCCTCTTCTCCATAGGAGGGGCTAGAGCATTGGTTTGTGGCCGGATTGACTGGGCTCTCATCCTTAGCAGAACAGACAACTTGTTCCAGCAGAAGCTCCATAGAAAGGCTTATTGAAGGACTATCTCCACATGGTTGGTCCTCTGTTGAAAGTTCCACATTCTGTTTCACATCATGCTGTGGGCTGTAGTCCTGTTCAACATTGCTCCCCAAAGGCTCTTCAATACGGATATAGTAGTCTCCTGCCACCGAAGGGCTACGAGCACTCAGAACGGGTACCAGCTCGAGCGGGCGGGAGTTTGGGTTGCAGTCCTTGTCATCGTAGCCAGATGGTGACACGCCGAGACTGAGCCTTTCACCAGTGCTGGTTGTATAGTACATATCTTGGTAAGACTGGCATCCAGGGCTCAGTGGATATTGTTCATGCCGCCCACGCTCCCATTTATACTCGAAGTTGAGCCCTTGGCTGGTCTGAGTCACCGTCAGCACATCATCTCCGTCTGAATGGAACCCGTCCGAAGAAAAGTGCTCCAGCAGGGGGTAAGAGGACAGTTCGGGCTCATGGTGAGTCTCGACATCTGTTCCACCATTGGGTTTCATGGAGTTCCAACGCTTCTCAAACTCTTCCTCCAGCTCGCCAGATCCCTTCACACTCAGGTACGAAATAAGTAGATGGACCTCTTCCACTGTGGGTCTCTGCTCAGGCTGCAGCCAGCAAAATTGCATCACCTCATACCTAAGAAAAAAACACAAACAACATGAGCATGGCATTGATCAGGAATTTAACAAAGCCTCGTATTTCCCTCCTGTACCCAAAGGAAAGCCATATTTGACATTTTAAAAGAGAACGTTGCCATAAAAGACTCTTCTGTGCTCCTCTATGATTGCGTTTCACTTTGTTATAGGAGCCCAACATTCCCTATCCTAATGGCTAAGCTCCATGGCCTTATTGACTATTGTGGCAGTCTCACCGGGCAGGTGATGCGGCCGAGAGGTTTAGCCATGAAGTCAGGCTCCAGTCACAAAGTGAAATGAAATCAGAGAGTGGCACAGAACAGCCTGGGGAATATCCTGAATCCCGACCAACCAAGCATATGCTAAGCCATTAAAGGAGAACTATGGGTGGGGGGGTGTTTTCCCCCATAGTTCTCCTAAGAGTCACGGGAGGACATATACTAGCGTCTTCCCGTGACCCAAAGCTCAGTATATAGCAAGCTACAACTCGTGGTATAGTGAGACCGCCGCAGCCGGGACGGATCCCGACATTACTGTCGAGATCCACCCAGCTGCGTGATTGACAGCTGGCTCTGCCTATCTAGAGGCAGAGCAAACTGTACCCTCCCCCGTCCGTTCCGCCAGTCAGCGCTGGAGGATCGGAAAGGGGGAATCACTGCAGGGAGCCGTGAGTGACAGGCACGGCTCTCTGCAGGGAGATGATCGAGAAGTGAGTGAGCGCCGGTACGTGTTCCCTCACTTCCCGATCTATTGAGCCGACCTGTGACAGTCTCATTGTCACACGTCGGCTCCAACTGTGAGGATGAGTGAAAATCACTCACCTCATAGTTCTCCTCTAAGAGTCGGCCAGTATTCTGTATATTGGGCCAACGAGAACTACTTAAAGTCATTTTGCACATTTTTAAAGCCGTAGCTTTCAATAAAATAATCTCTTGTGATTCAACCACGGAGGTCCTTATTCAGGCACTTCCTGTTGGAGGGGGACAACGCATTATTCCTTGCATCCCAGTTGCACATGAGACAACATGTGGCCGTTTTAGTATTGCCATGCAGCTATCACTGGAATGCATGTAGACAGGAAGTGGCTGCAGGAGATCAGCAGCTCTGAGATGTAACAAAGGAGGAAAAAAGATGAAATGTGAAACAAAAAAAAAAAGCCAAATGTTTATGATACAATGTGCTTAAGCAAGCTAAATGTCAATCAGTTCAGTTCATCTACTTCAATATTCTCTTATATATAGACAATATATCCTATGATGAATAAGTGCCGGGATAATATAGTATATGGCAGATTACCAGACACGAGGCAATTTACTACAAACATTTTGAAAGGTTTGACTCACTTCACGCCAAATAGTATGGAAAAGAGCTAAACACCATACACGGGACCACTATGAACAGACAATACACTGTAATCTGGACCATCAAATTCTGAATATTGATCCGCAGACTGGCCTACAATTACTTTGTAGATGATAAAAGGCTAAGCTGCTTTAGGGGTTCTCATGTCTTCCATTGACTCCAAAAGCAAGATTGGCCATGGCTATTAGAATGGCACCCCTCGCTCTCTCATGGCTATAGGAATGGCACCCCTCGCTCTCTCATGGCTATAGGAATGGCACCCCTCGCTCTCTCATGGCTATAGGAATGGCACCCCTCGCTCTCTCATGGCTATAGGAATGGGACCACTCTCTCCCACATGGCTTTTAGAATGGGACCCCTCTCTCACACATGGCTATTAGAATGGGGCCCCTCTCTCCCTCATGGCTATTAGAATGGGGCCCCTCTCTTCCACATGGCTATTAGAATGGGACCCCTCTCTCTCTCATGGCTATTGGAATGGGACCCCTCTCTCCCACATGGCTATTAGAATGGGACCCCTCTCTTCCTCATGGCTATTAGAATGGGGCCCCTCTCTCCCACATGGCTATTAGAATGGGACCCCTCTCTCCCACATGGCTATTAGAATGGGACCCCTCTCTCCCTCATGGCTTTTAGAATGGGACCCCTCTCTCCCTCATGGCTATTAGAATGGGACCCCTCTCTCCCACATGGCTATTAGAATGGGACCCCTCTCTCTCTCTCTCATGGCTAAATGGAAGCCCTCCC